ACTCTTCCATCTGTTTTCTGTGCCCTGACGTAAATGTTTGTTTCGTTATGGTTATAGTATCATCTGGTACAATGTGGTTGCCTTGGTCTCGCCGACGCACATCAGAACRAAGCTTGAAAAACTCATCAAGATTTTCTGAAAACGGCACATTACCTGTGGCAGCTTTAAGTCAGTGTAAAAAGAAAAAGGCCACAGTTATAAGTTCTTCCCCCCACCCCCCCCCTAGTCTCGGGTAGTCTCGAATAGGCTTTTTCTCAATATTTCAGGGGGGAAATTGAATTGCGCATAGGTTCGAAAATGTAAAATAAGAATGAGAAAAAGGAATCATCGGAGAAAAGGAAGGGAAAGCGAAAGAAGGGAATTATTCTCACTTATTGTAACTTTAGTTACAATATTTTTGTGATCATTCATATAAGCTAAGGTTTTTGTTAATTGCGTTAAATATACTGTTAATGGCGGGTGAAGATTAGATGATTCAGATGATGGAGTGAAGAAACAACGTGGTCTCTTTTTCGCTCTATCTCTCCCAACATTTCTGTAAGCGTTTTGACCGTGACATAGTGAATGTGACAGCTATGACGGCACCGCACAACCTGAAGTAACTACGACTTGGTCAGAAACTTTCCTTGTATATTAACAAAGACTTTGCTTATTATGTTTTCTATGCTGCAGTTGTAGTTTTAAAAGTCTTTGCTGTAAAAGTGAGTTTCATGGTTCGGAAGGTAGCCGAGAAAACTTTCTGCCCTAGAAGTCCCTGGTTACTAGTCTATGACGTCAGAAGGTGACAGCTCGTGACTAGAAACAACTCAGTAATGTATTGGAATGAGCACTATGACGAAATGATGGCGTCCATGGCGAAGAATCTGCTATCCTTGGATAAGAACAAAGTCTTTGCCTTGTATTGTTTCTATGCTGCAGTGTTAATCCTTAAGATCTTTGCTGTAGTTTTCTTGATAGTATATTATCGTCTTACAAGGAAGGTTAGTATATGACTATGCAAATCTGCAGAGACAGTTCAAAACCCCACAATGTGATTGACTCCATAATTTTATCCTATCACACAAAGATAAAAGGTTACTTACGGATTGTAGTATTTATAGATCGATCATTTCTGCCCTCCAATATTTGGAAGATTTTATATTTCACGAGTGATTGCACATGCATCGTAAGATCGTGAGTCAGTGTGGAGTATAGGAAAGAAGCAAGGGGTATTATATTTACTATGTGAAAGACTCATGGAAAGTGTCCGGCTATCCGTGGTGTTTGCATATCTTAGTAAAATGCAGCTAATAAGCGAAAAGACATTACTTCTCTCCGAGGTAGAGGACTGAGTTTAAGACACAAGATTATATATATTATATATACATGAATGATATTTGCTTAAAAGAATACAAATAAACTCAACTCGGCCGTAACGAATCAGCGACCAAAGTCGCAAAACATATTGCATATGACAGTGATGTATGACCATACCAGTTTTTTCTATAACAAGCTATATCCAGTATATATGGATGCACGCTGGCTGTAACTTAAAGTGATTTGGGGGAGTCAGAGAGCCGAAAAATAAGAACGCTCTATTTCCGCGAAGTCGGGAAGAGGGAAGTATAGTACCACTTGTGGCCCTTGTGTTATTCATTTTTATCAACCAGCGTGACCTATTCAAAGTTACTTGCTATTGCTGTTCTATCTAAATAAATAACAGGTCCTAACAGTTGCGGACATCACTTCATAGGTTTTCCCGTCTGAAGAAGATTATCGTGTCGATCCGAAAAAGGAGAAAGATGGAGGAATAAAGACTCATCCAGACGTAGAGAGAGCTCGTAGGTATGAGTGATGTTCAAATGGAATAAAAACTTTATACGGACGTCAATTATGTGTGCAGTATATTATCAGTAAATTTTGGATGGTGATTGGTTGGATGATTATCAAATGAACAATCTGACGTCGCGGAATAAATGATTCCCAGAAGGACACGAATTAGAAATATGTAGCAACAGGAAAATGCATTTCACATTGTAATTAAAATGCGTTTGTTTTTTAGGATGCACCAGAATGACTTGGAGAACATTCCTCTATTCTTGAT